TGGGGTTGTGCAGACCCTTGGAGTAAGTTTGGCAAGTGCTTAAAATTGAAAATGTATGTCCACCCCATGACACAGGGATGCTAGTCTTAGATACTTACCCAAGAAAAATCTCTTTCCACACAAGGACACCAGCTTTATTTGTAACAATTGGAAACAGGCAAATGGATAAATTGTGCTATACCCAGATAATGAAATATCACTCAGTAATGAAAAGGAAAAAGCTACTTAAACATGTAACAAATTGGGTGAATCTCAGAATTTTGCTGAGATAGAACTCAGACAATAAAGTTCATGTGAACTTCTGCATAAAATTCTAGAAAATGCAAGTAATATATCGTGACAGAAAGCAGACCAATAGTTGCCCAGGAAGCAAGGGAAATGAACTACATGGAACTCAACAGTTTTGGGAGAGTCATGGATATAGTCATTACCTAGATAATGGCAATGCCTTCGGCATTAGTATTCCATTACAACAACAAAATACCTGAGGCTCCATGTAGAGGTTTTTTAGCTCACATTATGGAGCTTAAAGGGCAAGTTGCCAGCATCTGCAAGGCTCTGGTGACATCCTCATAGCAGACGGCTCCACAGTGGTGGGACCATATGTGGAAAGGAGCGATTACATGACAAGACAAGAAGCCAAATTGTGACAGGGAGGGGCTGGGACTCCTTTCCTATAACATCCCTCTCTCAAGAACTACACTCCTTCAGAAAGCAGCACCCTCAATGACCTAATCACTTCCCACAGGCACTCTTACAGGGTTCCATATCACCACACTGAAACCAAGCTCTAACACATAAACCCTTGTGGATGCACACAAACCATATTCAAGCCATAGCATATTCACAGGCATAAACATATGTCTAACTCAACCATGTCCAAACCATAGCATGTTCACACATACCTATGTTTAAACTCATCAAATCCCACACTTAAATATGTGTACTTCATTATACAGCAATTATACCTCAGTAAACTGTTAAAAATCCGAATCATTTAAATTAAAACCAAGTATCACTACTAATTTACAAAATGACTTTGAGAAACACAAAAAATATTTTTTATGGTAAGAATGCCAGCAATGGAATTCACATTCATCACTGTAGGAATGCACTAAAGTACAGGCATGCTGGAAAACAATCTGGTAGCTTCCAAAAAAGTGAAGCATACACTTGTTACATGATCTAGCAATCCCCCTTCTATTAATCCACGAAATATGGAAATGTGAGCCCAAAGGCATTACGTGAATATTCATAATAGTCACAAATTGAAAACTCAGCCTTATCAATGCCCAAACACTAAAATCCCAAATAATATGATACAAACCTCAAAAAGTTCTAATGAAAATTGAAAGAGGAAATATGAAAAGGACTTAGCTAAAGCATGATAGCAAGTATCACAATCGTTGCTTATCCAAGTAAACAAAAGTTGTGATGGTAGAGAATTACAAATCACACAATATACAGCCTTCTGTGGTTGGTGTGTTTCACTCAGAATGCTTTTGAGATACATCCATGGTTGTCACATCTGTAGGTTATTCCTTTTTTATTATTGAATATTAGTATATTTTAGCGCATGGAGAGTAAAACTATTATTTTTTAAAACTCAATAATGTATAGCAAAATGCAGATAATTTTAAGCTGACTTTCAAAGGCACTACTCTAACCTGGTAACATATCCTAATTTTGCTGGGGCACAAGAGAATGAGCATAGAACTTGAGGTCAGAGGCCTGAAATCTAATTCTAATTCATCAGCTCTCAGACCCTGGGCATCTTATCAGTAAAATGAAACAATAGAAACCTCAAAAAATCCTTGTGAGAATGGAAAAAGAACTTTGAAACTATAATGCATGACACAGAGTATCCATATTAATCACTCTAGGAAGCAAAACTTGTAAGAGCAGGAAAACATTCACAAATATAACTGATCACTTAATGAAATCCTGTCTCTAGTTAGCTGAATGACCTAAGACAAGTCATTTAAACTCTGAGTCTGTTTTTTCCAGCTGCAAATGGAGCTTATTATTAGTTCATTCCACAGATTGGGAGGATTAAATGAGCAATATGTGAATATCACTTAATATTGTAAGTACTTTGTAAATTTTGACTGTTACGGCAAAAATACTATTACCCTGCCAGCCGCCAGTGCTTTACACCTGCAATCCTAGCTACTCAGGAGGATTGTGGTTCAAGGCCAGCCCAGGCAAACAGTTTCTGAGACCCAATCTCTAAAACACCCAACACAAAAAATGGGTAGCAGAATGGCTCAAGTGGTAAGAGTGCCTGCCTAGCAAGCGTGAAGGCCCTGAGTTCAAACCAGTGCTGCTAAAAAAAAATAATTTCTGTGTTGATTACATGTTAAGATATTTGAATATACTGAGTTAATTTCATTTGATTTTTTCACCTGTTTACTTCTTAAAATGAGTACTAGAAACTTTAAAATTATAAGGTGGCGGGCATATTTCTATGAGACAGCAGTAGTCTGTGGTCTGGGCAGAACAGCATCCATATGATTTGAGACTTATTAAAAGTGCAGGTGATTCTTATGGAAGTTAAAGTTTGAGAAGCCCTATATTATCAACAGGGGAGACTGATACAGCATTTGGCAGTTCAGTTCAGATAGAAAGCAATCAACTGCAAAATGAAACTTCAGGTAATGAAAATAATGTCAATGAAAGTAACACGAAAAAATGGCTGGATCAGCGCAAAGCCTTCTATCACCTGGTCTAACTGTGGTTCACAATTAGACCTGTTAACTGAAAAGTCACAAAGATGGTGGCACAATGCAACCTCTAGTGAGGATGACTTGAAGTAAAATGATCCTGTGTGTTACCACAATACCTTTTCACAGCTGACTCATTCTACAAAATAGTGCATATTTATAATTGTAACAAAAATGGTTGGGCCAGGGGTGGGGGATTAGCTCAATGGCAGGCGTGCTTACCAAGCATGGGTCAGGGTTTGATCCCCAGGTCGAGGGGAGGGATATTATACACATATATGAAATTGTATTATAGTATAAAAGTTCAGTTTTAGTTTTCTCTCCCCATTACTTATCACAAACTTGCAATGCCCATTTTCTCAGGTAAGTGAAAATACTAGTACTACTATTTAAGAACTTTACAAATCTCCACTCTTCACTGTCATTTTGTCAATTTAAAATCATTAGCCTTACTCTCAGTGGTGTCACTTGCTTATCTATAAGGACTTAAATTTGTACAGCTCACTTTTAATCAGCCAATTATAAAATCACTAAGCAGATACTTTCTAATGAAAAGCCAAATGATTAACTACAAATATGCTGCTTTCCTAAAGCACTGACATACATTCATTTGTGACTCACAACTGTTATATTAAGTAAAAAAACTAAAAACACGTAAACATACCAATCTATACAGGTGGAATTATATTAAGACTCAATGAGCAATCACCCACTTACATGGTTGATAAAGAAAAGGAGTCTATCGGTAAACACTAGGGCATACGTAAGCATACACGTAAAATCTGTTACATTACACTTTATATTTCCCCTCTAAAACAGTGGAAAGTATGTGTGCAGCTTGTCTAACTCTCCAGGTAGTATTACACAGGGTCACACTCCACACCCTCTCAGACACTGCTCTGGGCTCCTAAAACCCTGGTCTGAAACGTTTCCAAGGTGATGTTAAGACAAAGAAAAAAATACGGCACCAGCAGCCACACTGTCTTACCCAGACCAAAGGGGACACAGATAGACAACCCATTCTGTAACACATCCTCTTATAAGTCAGGTAAGGAAAAATGGATATGGTCAAATAATCTATAGGCCACCATTTCTCAACGTTTAAATAAGAAAGAAGCTGAATACCTTTGAACAATTTTTCATTGCAACATTCAGTCTCCCAAGGTCTCACTTCGAGACGATGGAGGCAGGCTCTGAACCAGAAACCTCTGTGACTTCATGTAGTGAGTGCTCCTTCCTCCAATTTACCTCCCTTTAGAAATGTGCCTAAAATGGTTAGTTAAATCTACTTCCGCGTGTCATCATCACAAACCATAAAGCAAGACACAACCAATCATGGGCTAGAGTATTAAAAACCTTCACCCATAACATTTCACTTGGAATGACATTAGAACTTTTCAATAAAGGTATACTTTAAACATTTTGCTTTAACCTTCGCAAATGGATTTTAAACTGCTGCTTCAGGCGAGAGAAAAACATTGGCCTCCCTCCTTTACCTCTAAAATTGAAAGGCGTGCCTTTCCCTCTGATGACCACCCTGTGGCCATTTCTTCTCAGAGGGTCTGCAGCAACTTAAGACAATATGTAAAAGGGCAGCCATTCCGAGAAGATAACCAACCAGCCACCCACCTGGAGACGGGAGGAAGAAGTGTCCTGGTAAAGAGGGTTTTCTAATTCAAGGACTTTAAGGAGATTCCTCCTACGAGAGCTGGAGGGCAACAAATGTCTATCCATTAGGGGCGGGGCACCTCGGTAGACTGCAAGGAAGAAAGTGTCCTGTTTAAGGTCAACTGTGCTCCAGGGAAGCCCTAGGTGGGCTCCTCCGGTGGACAGAGCTGTAACGACCCTACAATAGTCAGGGATCCTACAACTAGAGCGGTGGGAGGCCCTAGAGGAGGGCGGGCGGCACCTGGCCGGCCTTTTGCACATATACACAACACGCGCACACACACACCACCCTGACACCCTCCTCCCTCCAGGGGCGGGGCAGGCGCTGCCCTCACACAGGAAGTCAGGAAACCCAGGGGGGCAAAAGAGCCACAAGTTCGGGCCATTTAAACCCTCTCGCCCACGTCGGCCCAAGGGCTGACGACCGCCGCCCCTCCCCCCGCGCCTACCCCAGCGCCCCGGCTTCACCTCGCGCCGCCGCCGCGTCCCGCACACGCCTCCCCTAAGCTCTGCTGCCCTCGGCGGGCACAGCGCGAACCCCCGAGCGCCTTTGTGCAGCGCCTCTCCGACTGCCCGCCGTCCGCTGGAACCGGTTCTCCGCCACCTTACCGAGGACCGGGGGAGCCTCGAGGCCCAGCAGCTCCTTCCTCGGCGAACACAGCAGCCGCGGGACACCACCACGAGTCTGGAGCGCGCTCCGAAGGCAGCTACCGCCGACGTCGCCGCCGCAGCCCGGCGTCCCCGCAGGCTGGTCTCAGAGGGAGGGTAAGTTCCAGGGCACGTCGAAGCGCGCCGGCGCGGGGGCGGGGCGCTGCGAGGGGCGGGGCTGTGTCACGTGGCGGCCTGGGCGGGGCGAGTCCACGTGACGGCTGGGCTGGTGGCTCACGTGACGACTTGAGTGGGCGGGGGCGGGAGGTGTCAGGGATGGCGGAGCGGGCTTGGGCCAGGCGGCTGCTGAGGATCCTGGAGGGGCGGGGTGAAGGGTGGAAGGCAGGGAGGGCTGAGGGAGGAGCGAGGGACAGGCCAGGCGAGGAAGCAGGCGGGCTGCAGAGTGGGCGTTAAGCACTTTGTAAACATGAAGTGGGAAGTGTTGAGAAAACGCTATGTGGGGGGAGAATGAGGGAAGGGCGGAAAAGAAGCCAAAGTACTAAGGTAGCAGGAAGGGAGACCGGGAAGTGGCAGCGGGGCTGTGGGCTCTGCCCACTCGGGTTTCCGTCCCCCTAGCCGACGGGGAAGTACTGCCAGGCATGGGTCACTTGTTCATGAACCTGGAAATCCCTCTGGGAGACTTGGAAAAAGTGCCACATGCTGCCCAGGGAGCAAAGGAGGGTTGGAAATGGAACTCTTGAGGACAGACAGTTGATTGCTAGGCCTGTGTAGAGCCCTCCTTGGACTGCATCACCAGGACCGAGCGCAGGGCCGGCCCTTTGCACTCAGGGCTTGGGAGACCCTGGGGACCCAGAGCAGTCTGATTGCTCATTCAGTGTTCAGCTGTCCACAGGGCCTGCTCTGTGCAGTCGCTGTAGAGCCACAGTGTCGTCCAAAGCCATCCCAGTACGCAATGTGGCAGCGTGGAACCCTAAAGTCACGGGCATTGAAGGTTTTTGTTGGTGATCCATTGGCAGAAAGAGCTCTGCTGAAATGGGAATCAGGAAAGAACTGGCTTCTGCTTTAGTTACCACTAAACTCTCGGGACTTCACCTGTCAAATAAGAATGTTTACTGAACGCCTCCTTCTAGTTCTAAAATTTAATGACTGAGAAAAGTAACTGAGAAGTGTTTGGACATCAGAAACCAATCGTTAATTAACCACTTGTTGATTGTGCCTATTATGGATACCTGGATGAAAATTTAGTAATACAGAACAGAAAGGAAAAAAAAAAAAATCAAAGCCAGCGTATGATTTAAGACCTCTCTTTAAAGAAGCTCTTTCCTGTTCTTCGTTTCATGCTTAAAAATACCACGATGTCTGGCTTTCTTATCACAAGCTGAACGCCTAATAGTTCTTTAAAGAATGTAAAAATTCCACTGAGATGTTAGCAATACTTTAATTATTAAATGATATTGGGGTTGGGGGAGACGGCTAACGTTTTAAGACAGTCCTCTTAGATGCTTAAAATGAGAATTTAAAAATAACCCTGAGACCTATGCCATTCATCATCTTTTCTGTCTCCTTCAGTTTCCAGCTTGCTCTCTTTTCCATGAGTTTTTCAGCAGAGTATTGCTGTTGTCTGCTTCTGAAACTACTTTCCATAGAATCCCCTTGTGATCCCTTTTTCAAGGACAGTCTGCAAAAGGGAAACTGGTAAGAATGTGCTTGTAACCTCACCTTCTCTACTCACCAAACCTGAATTAGGCACCCTTAGTTTCAGTAAGAGATAGGACCAAACAGTTTGCATACACTTGCAAATCTGCTTGCAACTCCACTTCCTATTTCACAACCTAATCTCAGATGATACCACAATGTCCACAGTATGCTGATCACTACCAACAGCAGATGGAGTCAGATTAAAAAGAGCTCTCATGCTAGTGTGTTGTTTTAAAAGGACCTGATGGAGAGTTATGAAATCATATGCAACATTGCCTCTAGTTAGTTTTTAAATAACACTTGTAGCATATGTCTGGCGCCGGTGCTCAGGATCTCAACAGATCATTTCCAGGATTTTAACATTTAACTGGCTTCTTATAAAGCAGCAGAAAGTTCCAAAATGCAGAACTCAAATGTAGACTCCACACTCAGTCAGAGATTTGAGTCTGATGCGTTTGTGCATGTATCCCAAGTGCCTAAAAGCTCTTGGCACACCTTACATGCCCAAGATTTTACTGTCGAATGTATTTTTGAGTGAAAATGAACGGAGTTGCTGAATAAAGTTGCCCTAATTTCTTCTAATTCTTTAATAGGTAACCTACTTTCATTACATCTTTATTTCTAAGTGAAAAGGCACTGATTTGTTTCTGGCATCACTACTTTGGGCTGTAAGGAAACAGAAATTTGGCAGTATGTATCGAAATTACAAATGCATATGTACCTGGAACCTCCAATTTTATTTCTAGGGATTTATCCCAAAGACGTATTTCCACACATAAGTAAAGATAAGGTATTTCTTATAATGGCATTGTTTGAATAAGTGTCCTCCAGTGTTTTGTGTGTTAAAGACTTTGTCCCTGGTGTGGCAATATAGGGATGTGAGGTGGGAGGCATTCAGGTTATTAGGGACATGTGTCCTTGAAGGGGATTGTGGGACCCTAATCCCTTCAACTTTCTCTCCTTTGCTTCCTGGCCATGAAGTGAGAAGTTTTGCACCATTACATACTCCTGCCATGACATGCTGCCTCACCAAAGGTCCAAAGCAGTAGGACCAATCAGTCATGGACAGTACCTCCAAAACTGTGAGCCAAAATAAACCTTTTCTCTTTATAAGTTTATTTTGTTAGGTATTTTGTTATAATGGAAAGCTAATACATGCAGTGTTATTGACAATGAAAATACTGGGATCAACCTAAATATATATCAATAGGACATATGTTTAGTTATGATATAGATATACATTTGAACTATTATACAAGTGTTAACCAAAAAAGCTTCTTTATATTTTAATATTAAGATTTCCAAGGTTTAGGGCTGGGAGTATGGCTCAAGTGGAAGAGTGCCTGCCTAGCAAGATTTTCCAGGTTTTTTTTGGTGAAAAAGCAGAAAAGTATCATTGCTTATATACCAGCATATGTTTGTATTAAACTAGAACAAACTAACTGTTGGGGTATGTGAACTCAGTGAATGGAAGGAGGCATCGAAGATGGACTGCTTACTGTATTCATATTTAATTTTTTGATGTTTTAACTATGAGACTAATATATTCAAAAAGCTTTTGGTATCTTTATTTTATTATTAAAACATTCAGGCTTCACCTGTTTTAAGTTTCTCTGATTAGAGTAAACATCATAAAAACTAGTACACATATCAGGCAAACTTTTAAACAACTTAGGGAATTGTTTTTCTTAAGATTGAACAATATCCGATCCTGACTGTGATAATTTAAGGACAGGGTACTACAGTTTAAGTTTGAGGGTTAGCATACATCTCATCAAATGTTTGTAAATGTTTTATATTTATTTATTTGCAGTGCTGTAGGTCCCACCAAAGGCCTCATGCATGCTAGGCAAGTGCTGTGCCACTGGCTATAGCCCCAGGCCCTGTAACTTTTCAAAGTACTTTATTTTTCTTTTCTTGTCTTGAGCAAGTTTTAATGACTTGGATCCTCTGTGTTAAGCAATAAAATTAGAATTTCACTGAACATTTTTTGTCTGGTTATTAAGGGCTAGAAAAATGTATTTAGGGAAGAACACCAATGGCATATGTTTCTGTGTGTATCTGTTCATTTGCCCACTTTGTAATGTCAACTGCCTCCTGTTTCCGTGGGCTATGCAAATGCCCTGTAAATGATTTTGTCTGATAAGTTTCAGTGTTTCAACTAGAGCTTAATACTTGGAAATAGAGAGAAAATAATCTCTTTTCTGTTTTCAAGTAAAATTTAGCACTCTGAGTTCAAATACAAACTTGACTTTATGAGATTTTCAATATATTGCACAGAGTGGGGCCAGCTATCTTAATTGTACTTTCCTGAAGATGCTACATGATTCTTCCAACTCAGTAGCAGGGATCTCTGCTAGTTTTAGAACTGGAGGTTCTAATAAGTATGATTATGCTTACCTGTGTGTTTAATTTCCAGAAATTTCAAAGAGAATTATGATTGTAACTACAGTAGTAATTAAGTTTACAGAATGCCAGGTCTTATATTTATTAAAATTTTCCTATGAAATACTATTTTTACTATATAAATTCACATAATCAGCTTTGTAAATTGATACCTGGAGCTCTTTTCCAAAATCATATATCCTGGTCTGCCTAATAAAAGACTAGTGTCAGGTGTTGTGGCACACACCCATAATCCCAGCACTCGGGACTGAGGCAGGAGGATTGTGAATTCCAGGCAAGCCTGGGCTACATAGCAACTTCCAGGCCAGCCTGGGCTACGTAATATGACCCTGTTGAGAAAGAGAGACATTAGGGAGAAAGGGAGGGAGAGAAGAGAGGGAAAATGAAAATTAGAAATTGGCCTTCAAATTTAAACCGTGTGATTAGCCAGTTAATAGTTCAATATATTTTAATTGGTAATTTGTTCTGCTTATAGCCTTTAAAAGGCGAAAGATTTATGCGATCTGAAGAGAAACCAGAGTATGCTGCTTATAGCCTGTAAGTTAAAAATGCACTAATTTTACCTTTACATATACCTCAGATATAGACACTAGGCAGTAATTGATAATTCATCATTTAAGCCTACTTGCATGGAAAGCATTTAGTATTTGTCAAAATTAGGCAGTAAGTAGTGCTATGTCTCTATGTGAAGCAAACTAAGATGGAAATAGTATTTCTTGATTCCTTTATATTGGGAACAAGGCAAGAACATTTGCTTTTGCAATTCTAGTCAGCCTGGTACTGGAGGTTCTAATAAGTATCTGGTAATAAGTAAATTTGTAGAGAAAACAATGTAAATTTATGTAATTTGGTATAGTAGATAAAACATCCAAATAGAGCACATTATTAAATTGATACATGATTGATATATCAGGATGGTTGAGGATTAAATGAAATGACTTGTCTCAGCACATTCTTATCAGGGGACAGTTTCCTTTTTGCAATCTGTCTTTGGTTTGATTTTAGAAAAAGATCACAATGGGAATACATGGAAAAGAGTCTCAGAAGCATCCAGTTAAAATTGT